GCTCAAGCATTTCCACTACTATATCACCCAAGTCCTTCGAGCAGTAAATAGCCATGCAGACGCCTTGGCTCGCCTCACCTCAGCAGTGGAAGACGAGATTGGAAGAAACATTCATGTCGAGTTATTGGCAGCACCAAGCACCATAGCCATGGAAGTGTGCAACGTACAACAAAGGGATAGTTGGATCACCCCAATCTATAAATTCCTTACTCATGGCACCTTCCCAGATGATAAAGTCCAAGCTAAGCAAATTTGATTCAAGTCTGCTAGCAACCTGATCATCAATGACCAACTCTATAAGCAAGGTTTTACCCTGCCTTACTTGAGGTGTCTGACTCCGGATAACGGAGATCAAAGAGAAACCATAAGTGAACATTCAAAGATAAACAACTCGGCACTCTAAGGAATCCACCAAAGAGATAAGAGTTTACAGATAGGAAGAAAAACACTCTTCAATAAAACAAGTTTAAAAGTAATTTTTAATTTCTGAATAATTGTGTTTCCATACATGAGTAGTGGTTTTAAATAGCTAGGCATGGAACAACCTTCAACCTTCCATGAATAGGTTACTAAGCATGAAGTTAATGTAAGACTAATCATGAACTTAAATGAGAACATGAACCATCATTGAATTAAATATGCTGAATACACCATGTAATAATTAGACGAGTCCAAATTCGGTGTCATACATTTCTGTTGTGCGATAACTCGTCCTCAAGTTTTGTTTGGTCTTCCTCGATCTTTCAAATGTCCAACTAACATTTTCCACAATAGCCAATTTAGCACCAATAAATTTGAAGACCTTGAAAAATTCCAAGAAGCCCAACAGTCCAAATAAATATTGATTTTTCATATTCTCATCAGGGGTGCTGCCAGATTGTTTGATGTAGAGTCGCTTCGATCCATCATGATGACGTGCATCATTCTTCACAACATGATTGTGGAAGATGAGTACGATTATGAAGCCGTTGATGAATATGAGCCAGACACGATGAACAATTCAAGAACACGTATATATTGTGCTCATGACGCCACCGATGAGCCCGTGCAACATGAGCCATTAGAAAGGGATGGACGTTACAATGAAAGGATCATCCAACGATATACTGCACTTCAAAGGTCATATATGCACAATGCCCGCCAACTTGACTTGATAGAGCACCAGTGGGAATTGAGGGGTGCTGACGATACTTAAGTTCATTAGTGTTTGTTTTTATTTGGTGTGTTTATTTTATTTTATGTGGTGTGTTTTTTTAGTTCATTTAGTGAGTTGAAATGTAATTTTATTTTATTTGGTGTGTTTATTTTATTTTATGTGGTGTGTTTTTTTAGTTCATTTAGTGAGTTGAAATGTAATTTTATTTTATTTGGTGTGTTTTTTTGGTGTGTTGATGTTATTTTATTTGGTGTGTTTAAATGTGTTTTGAATAAAGTACTAAGTTCAATAAATTGGAAACAACATAAAGTACTCTATTCAATGAATAAGAAATTACAACCCGAATAAGAAATTACAACCCGAATTGATTGGAAAATTATGGGTTCGTGAATGGATGATAACCATCACCTAACCAATTTGTGGTGCTAGGATGATCTTCTCTTGTCGTGCTAGGATAATCTTCTCTAGTGGTGCTAGGACCATCTCCTCTTGCTCTCGCTTCTCTTGCACGCCTCCTTCGCACCACGTCCGCTTTCTCTGACTTCCAAAAATATTTAGAGTCTGGAGACTTCCCTTCTAAAGGCTCCTTCATAATGTCACGATCTCGTTCAGCCATTCTTTCTTCTCTTCTATGTTCCCTTTCTTGCCGAAGTAGTTCTCTTTCTCTCTCATCAGCTTCAAATTTTCTCTCAAAAGCTGCAGCTTTTGCATCCTTTAGCCTTATCAGCCTCAAATTTAGCCATTTCCCGGGCCAAATTCAATTCACCTTGGCAGGCAAGATCTTCCATATACTTTGCATAATCATTCTTGGAAGCATTACCTTTTCTCTTTGAAGCCTTCTTACCTTGAGGCCTAATTGGAAAACGGGTCGACCCCGACGCTTGTTCAACGGGGGGCGTTTCAGGCACTTCTTCATAATCATCTTCATCATGATCATGCGAGGCATGCTCAGGTATAGAGTGTAGAGGGGTGTTGTTCATGAAAACTTCTGGACCGACATGCACAACTCTAAATTTAGGACAATCTTTGACAATATTCCAACATTCAAACCAGGTGAATGTTTTGTTTTTGCTTTTGGTTTTGGCACCATACCAAGCTTGTGCTTGAAGTTCCTACACAAACAAATAATTATAATGAGAATAGGTAACAAATAAATAATTATAATGAAAGTATGTAACAAATAAATAATACAAACAAATAATTATAAATGAAAGTAGCTAACAAATAATTATAATGAAAGTAGGTAAACAAATAAACAAAACAAATAAATATAATGAAAGTAGCTAACAAAATAATTATAATGAAAGTAGGTAACAAATAAATAATACAACCAAATAATTATAATGAAAGTAGGTAACAAATAAATAATACAAACAAATAATTATAATGAAAGTAGCTAACAAATAATTATAATGAAAGTAGGTAACAAATAATACAAACAAATAAATATAATGAAAGTAGCTAACAAATAATTATAATGAAAGAAGATAACAAATAAATAATACAAACAAATAAATATAATGAAAGTAGCTAACAAATAAATAATATATTGTTACCTGATCCGTTAAATTTTCCCCACTTCGAAGATTACCACTAGCTTGTGCCAAGGCGTCTCTCGACATACTAAACGATTGACTAAGTAATTTCTAACGACTGGACATCGATTCTTTAGTTCTTTGCCCACCCATTTTCTCAAGATAATTGGTATGAATAAGACTCCACATTTCTCGCAACTGCATCTCATTACCCCTAATCGAATCATGAGTAACTTGAACCCAACTAGTACACAACGCAACATCTTCCAGAAGCGTCCAATTCGTACCTGGTTGAGTAGTCATTTTGTTGGAAAAAAATTGGATTGAAACTTTGAAAGAAAGATAGGAATGTGGTTGAAAGTAGTTGAGAAAATATGAAATTGTGGTGTAGGGTAGAAGATAATGAGAAGGTATTTATAGAAAAGTAAAATCAAAATTTTTTATAATTTTCCATAATTTTTTTTTCGGATTTTTAAGAATTTTTTTACATTTTTTTAAAATTTTTATTCACCTAATTAATCTCTGCCGTTGGATTTAAAAAAATTTAAATTCCAACACTCCAGATTGTGCCACGTGTCACAACGGTAACATTTTAGATTTTTAAACAGTTTTTTCTTTTTTTTTATATAATTTACAAAGGTCCATAAAATATGAGATTTTTAAATCAAACGGATGAAATTAAATGATATTTTTAAATGTTTTTTACCGTTGGAAATCCAACGGTCCATAAAATATGACCGTTTCAATCGAACAGACATGGGGAAGCCACGTGGCTTCCCCAACGGTTACTTTTCATAACTGAAATCGCGGGCCCCAGCCCTGTTTTTTTGTCGGACGACTCGCGCCCACGCGCGCGTGAAACGCACGCGCCTGACGCAGCCCTCGGGCTCTCGGGCTGGCAATCCTCGACGGGCCTGCTCCTCGGGCCTCGCCTGTTGCTCGGGCTTCCATACGCTGGAGCTCATCCCCCCAGCAATTTGCTACTGTTTGATCCACAGCCCCCGAGCAACCTCCCCCGCTGGAGGTGCTCTTAACATAATATTAGTATGTGAAACTGACGCTTCCTACCTTCTTGGTTATTAGGGGACACGTGCTATTGAAGGCATAGTCCTACGGTTACCCGAATCAAAAGAGGTGCATTGGAATTCGGAAGCCTTCTCTAATATGCATGAACTGAGGTTTCTGGAATTCAATAATTTGGTCATTTCTTCATGTCCCAAATTTCTTCCATGTTCCTTGAGAATTATAAACTGGAGTTTCTATCCTTCCAAGTTTCTTCCAACCAGCTTTCACCCGCATTTGCTTACTCAACTTGCGATGCGAAAGAGCAAACTTGTTCGGCTTTGGAAGGGAAAATTGGTAAGAGTAATATTGAATAAATGCTATATAAATTATAAAATAATCATTTATTTATTATTTTGGATAAACTTTAAGGTTGTAAAAGCTAAGTATAGGATCTAGGGATGGGCAAATACCCATTGGTTATGGGTAACCGCGGTTACCCACCCATTTAAATTAAACGGTTACGGTTATGGGTAACCGTTTAGATAAATAAATGGTTATGGGTATTAACCACGGTTATAAACGAGTAACCGTTTACCCATTTATTTTATATATGTAAAACTAACACAAACCATGTTCTCGATCCAATAATACTTAGCACCCAATAAATTTGCAAGGAATTCATCGGTCATTCTCTCAATAACACTACTACAGGAATGATGATTCTCATCATCAAGGAATTAGCCAAATTAATTTAAATTCCTTGCAGGTAACCGTGAAATTGACAGAAATGCTATGACAGAAATGTCTTCTAAACAATTTTTGTAACCCAATAATACTTAGCAAATATTATATTTACCTTCATTAGTAACAATTAAAATATCGTCCGTAAACTATTATTTCAATTATTGGAATAGTATAAGGACTTAAAAAATTAAAATATGGAAATGTATGATGAACGTACCTATAACAGTGTTTAATTGTCAAAAAAAAAATTATGACAAGTTTTTTTAATTTTCAGGTTGTTAAAAAACATGTAGACGGGTGAAAAAAGAGTAATGGTAAAAAAAAAAAAAGATAAACGGGTTAAAAAGGATAAATGGGTAAACGGGTATTAAACGGTTACGGTTAAATGGATATGCAGTTATGAGTATGGTTAACCGTTTATAAACGGTTATAGGTATGGGTATAACCGTTTAGGCAATTACCCAACGGGTAAACGGTTATGCGGGTATGAACATAAACGGTTATGGGTAAATTAACCGTGGTTACCTGCCCGCATAACCATTGCCCATCCCTAATAGGATATGAACCTTATCAGTGTTGTACAGGACTTGCCCAACTTGAAAAATATCAATCTTGGCTTCTCCAAAAATTTGATTAGTACCCCAGATTTCAGTGGTGTTCCAAATCTTGTGAAGTTGAATCTTTTTGAATGTAAGAATTTAGTTGAGATACACCCCTCTATTGCAGTCCTCAAAAGACTTAAAGTTCTAAACCTTGCATGGTGTGAAAGCATTAAGAGCCTCCCAAGTGCGGTTGAAATGGATTCTCTAGAATCTTTATATCTTAGTGGCTGCTCAAATGTGAAAAAGATTCCAGAATTTAGGAAGCAGATGAAGAATTTATCCAAGCTTCACTTAAGCGGGACTGCAATTGAGAAAATGCCTTCATCAATTGACCATTTGGTTGGCCTTAAGGATTTGAATCTATTTAATTGCAAAAATCTCTTGAACCTTCCTGGGGCTATTTGTAATTTGAAGTCTCTTAGACGCCTCTATGTGGGAAAATGCTCAAAAATTCACAAACTCCCAGGAGACATGGATCACTTGAGGCTCTTGGATTGGAAGCCACATTGACAGAGCCGCTTGTGGGTATGAAAAATCTCAAACAACTACTGTTATGCAGATCATATGCTTAAGCAAGGGACAAGTGGGGCCTTCTCCGCATATTAGGACTTGGAAAGAGTGCTCCTGATCCTCCTCCTTGTTGGGGTTTGATGTTTTCTTATCTAAATCGTTTATGCACTTTGAGGACCATAAATCTAACAGATTGTAAACTTTGTGAAGGGGATATCCCCGATGATATTGGTTGCTTGTCCTTTTTGGAAAAATTGGATCTTGGTGAAAATAATTTCGTCAATCTACCTGAAAGCATTAGATGCCTTTCTAAGCTTTATTATCTTGGTCTGTCGAGCTGCAAAAGCCTTCAAAAATTGCCACCTCTTCCATCTAATGGCAAATTGCATGTAGATGTAGACGATTGTACTCCCTTACGAAGTTTGTCAAATACATCCAAGTTGAGCAACAGATTCACCAATTTGTATGATTTTAGTTTCACTTGCCGGAATTGCATTGCATTGGTTCAAGATGAAGGTTGGACTAATAATACAATACTCTCTAGGATTCTAAAATTTGCCACTCAGAACAAGGTACTCTCTCTCTCTCTCTCTCTATTTATACACACACACACACATAAGTTGAATATCAGAGCGTGCAACAAACAAAATTACAAAATAATAAAAATATTATTAAACAAACAAGAATACTGAAACGGCTACAAAATTCCAAAAGATTACATCGTGACTAACTTGTTCTTGACTGAATAACAAGTACGCTATTTATAATAAACTAACCCTAATCCTAAAATGTAAGAAATCAAAACTCTAATGCTAATGGGCTAAGCCCAGAAAATGAAACATTCAAATAAACCAAAATACTAAGGGCCTGTTTGGTATCTTATTTGAAATTTTTTATCATTTCTCAAAACATTTCTTAAAAACAATTTTCTTTAAGACTAAAAAACTTGATTGATTTGTGATTTAAAATTTTTAAATCTTACAACTTAAACTAGACAAAGAAATCTAAAAAGAGGGAGTCACAAGAGAAGGAGAAAGAGGAGAGAGGAGAAGAGAGGAGGAAATAAAATAAAAGATGATTGAATGAAAGAGAAAGAAGAGAGAGGATTGGACGAGATAGAGATGAAGAGAAGAGAGAGAAAGAACCGAGAAAATGAAGAGAACGGATTGGATGAGACACGAAAAAGGTCAACAAAAAAAAAAGGAGAGAGAAAGAAGAAAAGAGAGAGATTTGGAGTGAGAGGGGAAGAGGGAGAGAAAAGAAATGAGTAAAGTTTAAGTTTAAATATTCAAAAAACTTACTTTCTATGTTTTTAGAAAATAGACTATATTTTTGAGTTAGTCTTGAGTTCAGTTTTTGAAACTAGTCATACCAAACAAGTTTTAAGGTCTAAAACTTGAAAATTGTTTTTGAGTCAAAAAAGTTGGATTCAAGTAGAATATCAAACAGACCTTAATATTTTCCAACAAGATATATATAATAGTTTTTTTTTTTTTTTGGTAGATATATAATAGTTCTTTGGTTACAGGATTATTACCGAAAGCCACAGGTTGTATTCCCTGGAAGCGAAATTTCGGACTGGTTCAGTAATCAAAGTGTGGGAGACTCAGTAAATATGGAGCTTCCTCCCGCATCATGTACCAACTGGCTGGGAATTGCCTTTTGTGTTGTTTTTCAAGTTTCTAAGGAAAACTTGGTCAATCCAGGTCCAGCTGCCCATTTTTATCATATTAATTTAAAATTTGAGTTTTTATCAAAACCCTTTTACCCTATGATTTGTTCAAAGATGATAGGGTCTCTTATGTCAGAACACCTTTGGGTATTTCAGTTGCCTCGTGAAATTTGTCATCAGGAACAGTTTTTATTCGAAACTTACTTTAGTTGTATTGGAGGGGTAAACGTAGAAGCAGACTTGAATAAGGTGAAGAAGTGTGGGGCTCGTTTGGTGTACAAGCAAGATTTGGAAGAACTCAACCAAACACTGAAAATCCTGAAACGAACACATGAATATTGTGACGAGGCATCTCCAAGTGGACCTATAAGTGCTAGCTTCAACGACACAGAGCAAATCCACAAAAAACATTGTTACTAGTTACCATCTTATAATAAAGGGAACTTTAACGAAAAGCACCCGGTACTGTTCACTTTAACGAAAAACCACATTTTTACACTAAAAAGTCAATCCTAGTACTATTCACTTTACCCTTTATTTTGTCCTTATCATTAAAACTCAAAGTTTTCAAGCCCTTTTCATTAGTTTTCCTTATAATAAATGCAGACAACTCACTATCGATTTATCCCATCAGCTTAATGGTTATCGGAATTTGAGCCCCGAGGTTGAAAATGGTATCTGCCAAGTTAGCCCATATGTGGTTGGACTCTGAGACGCCCCCTGGGTCTAGTTCGACAATGTCTAATGAAGCGAAGAAGCTTGGTGAATTTTTTGAACAATTAATTGAGACAGATACTTGTAGAGACAGGGACCATATCTGAATTGTTGTACTTGGTTGAATATCCAGTGTCTTTAGATAAATGAATGCTAATGATATTGCTCTAATTCTCACCATCTCAGAATTCATGTTAGTAAGCCACCATCTAACTCCCAGCCTTTATTCTTTCTTAATCTGGTTCTTCCTTTGTGCTTTACGATATCTTTTAGTCATACCTTTGTTAGATTCATCCAACGTCTGGAAATCCCAGATTTAGGCCGTACCAGTGATAAGTTTTCGGTAGATTTTGTTTCTGTGATCAGTAAACTCTCTCATGAACTTTTTATTTTGCACTAAGAATGGATGAATGAATTGTTGTGCTTGAGCACCAAATGGAACAAATAAAATGAAAGAAATAACTCTCAATTTATTAACTGATTGAGATAACAAATGTACAAAGAAGAATCTCACAAATTGGCTCACACAAATTATTTCTACGTGAGCTCCTTTTATTACAAAACAAATGGTTTGCCTTCTAATACGTAAAGCCATAAACAAGTTTGTGATGGAGAGAAAAACAAGGATAACCAATACAAAGTAATTGACCAAGATTTATATCGAGCCACATGTCAACAATCTCCACCTTGGCAAGATTCGTAATCACAAACATATTCAGGCACATAGTATATGAGCTATGCTTAAACAATGCTCAAACTTGGCAGGTCTGAGCACATTAGTTAACATATCAGCTGGGTTGTCCGCAGTTGGAACTTTCTGAAGAATAATCTTTCTTTTGGAAAAAAAATCTCACGAATAAAATGAAACCAAACATCGATATCGAATGATAAACTTGGAATTTTGACAAGTGAATAGCACTTTGACTATCACAATGTAGCTCCACCTACTTTTGATAAATTCCTAGATTCTTTATCAGTCCATGTATCCAAATGGCCTCCTTTACAGCTTCTCCAATAGACATATATTCGACCTCCGTTGTTGACAAAGCAACTGTGGATTGTAGTGTAGACCTCCAACTAACTGGTCCTTTGGCCATGGTAAATAAGTAGCCAGTAGTTGATCTTTTTCTATCCAAATCTCTAGCACAGTCAAAATCAACATATTCAACCACAAAATTCTCAAAACTGCTATCACTTCGCTGAAAACATAAGTCGACGTCTCTAGTCCCATGTAGGTATCTTAGAATCCACTTAGCTGCTTGCCAATGTTCTTTTCCTGGATTGTGCATATAGCGACTAACCAAACCAACGGCATGAGCAATATTTGGTCGAGAACATACCATAGTATACATCAAGCCACCAACCAAATTAGAATATGGAATATTCTTCATCTGCAGCTTCTCTTCATTGTTTTTTGGAGATAACAAAGCACTCAACTTAAAGTGAAGAGCCATTGGAGTACTTACAGGTTTGGTGGCATCATTAATACCAAAACATTGAAGCAATTTACACAAATATTGCTTTTGTGTAAGATACCCCAAGCCTTTTTCTCGGTTACGAGTAATTTCCATACCGAGTACCTTTTTCGCTTCACCAAGATCTTTCATCTCAAAATTGTGCTTCATCTGTGCTTTCAACTTTTCAATCTCCTTAACATTCTTCGATGCAAACATATCATCAACATAGAGTAATAAATAAATGAAAGACCCATTTGCAACTTTTTGAAATAAACGCAATGATCATATTGACTTCTTAAATAGTGTTGACCTCTCATGAATTCGTCAAACTTCAAATACCACTGTCTTGGAGATTGCTTCAATCCATATAAAGACTTATTCAATTTACAAACCCATTTCTCTTTTCCAGTTACCTGATACCCATTAGGCTGAGACGTGTAAATTTCTTCATCAAGATCTCCATGTAAGAAAGTTGTCTTAACACTAGTTCAAGATTAAATTGTGCAACAAAGGCTAACATAATACAAATAGATGAATGCTTCACAAAATGAGAAAATACTTCATTATAATCAATACCTTCCTTTTGTTCATATCCTTTTGCTACCACTCGTGCTTTGAATCTTACACTGTCTTCTCCTGGACGACCTTCTTTTTAGTATACACCCACTTGCAGCCAATAGCTCTCTTACTGGGAGGCAATTGAACTAACTCCCAAGTGTTGTTCTTCACAAGAGAATTCATTTCTTCATCCATAGCCTTACCCCACTCTGTATTTTCAGAGCTGTTCATAACTTCTGTCACGCCCCGATCCCGACATACGTCTAGGATCGACACGTGACGTCACCTAATACTCGTATCTATCATACCCCGCCTCCCGGATATGGGTAGAGCATAATTCGATAATCGAATCGCATAGTAATTTTTTGTATGCTTTATGGTTGCATCTAACCTCCTCGTTAGATTGCCTATGTACCCTAAACAGGGATCAAGCCATTCGTAGTTCGTCATGCACTATAATTGACATATGTCACAGTCCGTTTAAGCCGAAAGGCATAACATTTCTCAATCAATCAATAGAACTTGACAAGGATGAAATTACTAGACTCAGGGTTACATAACAAACCCACCTGAAAATCATGATTTCCCTTCAATCTTCTATATAAGTCATTATGTCACAACATGATACTGCAATTAACAACATATCATATCAAGGAACCAACGAAGCACAATACAATTCTCTAGCCACATTAATTAACTAATTTGTCCAAAATAATAACAACTATAACGATATCTTCTAAATTCATACTTTATGAAATCATAATCGAATCATAGGAAATCCTGAATGAGTCACCTAAACGTCCAACAACTTTTCTAATTCAATTCATAAGATTCTCAAAACCATTGCTCACAAATATTCTAAAACTAAGGCTAGAGTGATACAGTTAAGCCAAGCCTACATCTCAAATCCAAGAAACCAACAAGTCAAGTGATGCAACTTTGGACCACTTAACGGAATCTAAACCAGGAAACGATTCCGGACCATCACTCAACAGAATTGCATAGCAGAAGGGATTCCGGATCATCACTTAACGGAATCCAAACAAGGATATGATTCCAGACCATCACTCAACGGAATAGCAAAGTAGAAGGGATTCCGGACCATCACTCAACGGAATCCAAACAAGGATACGATTCCGGACCATTACTCAACGGAATCACTTGCACTATCAACTTCTCATGACCACTAACTATTTTATCATACAAGCATGAAAGTTATACATAATACTTCTCATAAGATTCTGGGTTCACATCGTCCTAAAAACAATCATACACATCATACTGATCATACATATCTAACCACATTTCATAAACATTTCCAAGCTATAGTCGAATCAGAATTAATAAACATAGATCGATGCTAAAAATAAAATAACACTTTAATAAAAAGCACATTTAATTAACAAGTGAAGGGTTAAACCTGAATTTGGTCGAGAAACACCTCAATTCACGACGAATCCGCCGAAACCCTAGAAATTGGATGTGCTTCAATTCGATCTCCTTGGTGTTTCATCACCCCTACAACTGATTGGGCTTTCACTAGTAGAAAAAACACTTTGCGCGACGTAGGTACTTCGTCGTGCAAAGTCAAAAATTGTTGCCTAAGGGTTTGCGCGACGCACGTTCGTCGCGCACTAACCGTCGTGCCAAAGCAATGACGGTAAGGTTTGCGTGATGAAGAAGTAACATGCGTTGCGCAAAGAGGCTTTAAGCGACGCATGCCCCTACGTCACGCAAAGCTGCTTTGAACGACGCACGTCCTGCATCGTGCAAAGCCACTTTGCACGACGTACGATGTGTCGCGCAAAGCCTCTTTGCGTGACGCACCGTATGTCGCACAAGAGACCCCTTTTTTTGTTTTGGTCAAAAATATTTTTTTTTAATTTTTAATAATATTGTAATTAAATTCTAAACAATAATTAATTAACCAAAGAAAATTATTTAATTATAAAATATATGAAAATATACATACAAGATGTCTGAACAAAAAAAGAAAAAACTACAAGTAATTGTCTAAGTGGAATGGCTACTGGGTATTGGCAGAGTGAAATGGCTCGAAGGTTGAAGATGTAGCAAGATTAGGTATTGGTAGCGAGATTTGGAGGTCGGACATCTGTATGGCTCGTACAAGATCTCTCATGTGCCCGACATAGGCCTTCATCTCCTCAACCTGCTCGCCATGGACCGCAAGCTGACCCCTTAGGGTTGTCACTTCTTCCTTCAAAGGAATAGGTCTTATAATGAGGCAAAACCAAATTGTATAATAGACTGAAATGAAACTGTGGCGGGAGCAACACCATTGTATGTTAGCAAATAGAAACATGAATAGCAGCATACTTAAGTGTAAAAAAACGAGAAAATAATTAAGGATCAGATAAGTTTGAGCGGTTACTATACTTTGCATATTTTAACATGAATAAACCAGTGTTGTTAATCAAGATAATCAACAGCAAAGACAAACCTCAAAGGATTGTCTTCTCCAATTCTGCCTCTAACATTATCCTTACTCTCTCCATGCCTAGTAAGTAATATTGGGCGGGGCATGAGGTGTGTATTCACCTACAACAATGTACCAGAAATATATGAATACATGACCAAAGTATGAAGAGACAAAACGACCAAAAAGGAGCCAAAGGAGCACAAAAGAGGCGAAGGGGGTGGGGAGGGCGTTTGGGGCTTGGGGATAATCAAATTATCTCAGTTTTTTATGTTGAGATTCCACTGTAAGATTTTGGTATGGTAATTACAAGTGCAATTTAAAAGAGGAACCTTTTACTAAGATGGTTAACTGTAATTTCATCAAGTGCAGATATAGATATATTCACCAAACAAGACATGTAATTAAAACTAGACAAAAACGACTAACAATGAAGATAAATGCATGAATTCAAACCATTTAGAAACAAACTATAACTTAAGGTTCTGTGAGAAAACTAGCTTATTTAACTCGAACTATAACCATTTCATACTCCTACTAACTCAGCATATCAAAGCTCGAAATTAATTCCATAAATAATGAACCAATGTAAATGTCTTGACCTTTTCCCTGACCAATCTGTGCTTGATATTCATGTGCTTGGTTCCTGAAGACCTCTTGTTGTTCTTAGAATAGAAAACTGTAGCAGTATTGTCAAAAAGAATCTGTAATGGCCTTTTAATGATATCTAGAACCCTCATTCCTTCTATAAATTCTCCTACCCATACAGTGCAGATATCATTGTACTATGCTCACGATTTTTTGACTATTAACACAATCTTCTTGAAGCAATGATAACACACACATAATCAACCTAACATAATCCAGGACAGAAATTATAAATACAAACCAAATTCCCCTGTATCGATCATGACAGCTATTTCAGTTAGTTTTTGGCCTTGAACGGCTACAATGATTCCAGTCTCTTAAACTGTAACGATAACTATTAACATACATAGAGAGAAATTCTTAAACCCTGAAATTTAGCCCATTTCCTAATAATTTATCCCAAATAAAAACCTGATTCAATCCCCATTTCAAAATTAAAACCCTAATTCCCATTCACAATTTTTTAAACCTTGAAATCCATCCCATGCCCTAGTAATTTATCCCAAATTAAAACCCTAAATTCTAAAATTCATCTCAATTCACAATCAAAATCCTTAATTTCACAATTCCATAATTTGTAATTAGACTTACTTTCAAGGAGAGAGACGAGCACGACGAAGGGGGTGGTGGCTGCCCGTCGTTTAGAATAAGAGGGAGAGAGACAACCGACAGTGGGTTCGAGATTGGTGCAATTTGGGGTTCAAGATTTGGGGTTCGAGCGTGATGAGCGAAGAGGAGGAAGCCTACGGGAAAGAGGGTGTGATGAGCGAAGAGGAGGAAGGCTACGGAAGAGAGAGGCCAAGTGAGAGAGAGAGAAAAAGGGTCTGGGAAGAAGAGGAGGGCGTGAAGAGCGAAGGGGTCTGGGAAGATTTTGTCCAAAATTATCAAAACTGGCGCTTATTTTTTACACTTGTGCCAAAATATTCAAAATTGGCGCGACGTAGGTATACCATTCGATGTCGCGCAAAGTGTTTTTGTGCGAGCATAAAGGCGTCGCACAAGGTATTTTTTCTTTAAAAGAAATTATTATAAAAATTACTAAAAATGTGACTTTACTCACTTCAAATTTAATTATTTTTACATAAAACCCATAATAATATATTTTACTAACAAAAACCTGACTAATAAATTGGTAGCTACTTAATAAATATACATATCATTCAATTTCTTAAGTATTATATGTAAAACATAAATAAATTTAAATCTACTTAATAAATATATATACTATTGAACTTGATGCGATACCGCATTTTACGAAACTAATTTCAACGATCTAACCGTCAAATTTGTTTGTATATACTTCGAGATCGCATACACCAAAAATGGCCAAAAACAAACCTTCAGAGATCAAGTAACGGGACAAAACTTTTCGACGGCTATAAACGAAAAAATCACGATTTAATAGTTATTTTAACAACGATTTTGATGATTTTTTACAACTACACTCCTGGATCCAATATGAATACAAGGAACTGATTCGATCATCAATTTATAACATTTACACAAGTGGATACTACAAAATCTTATGTTATACTTAATGAAAGTATAAATAAAATATAAGTGTTAGGGAATCTATTGTTTTAATGGGATACGCATTGTACAAAACTAGTTTCAACGATCCAATTGTCAAACTTGTTTGTATATGCTTCAAAATTGCATACGCCAAAAATGGAAAAAAAACAAACCTTCAAAGATCAAGTAACGGGACAAAACTTTTCGACGGTTATAAACGAAAAAAATCACGATTTAACGGTTATTTTAACTCCGATTTTGATGATTTTTTACAGCTACACTCTTGGATCCTATATGAATACAAGGAATCGGTTCGATCACCCATTTAAAACATTTACACAAATGGATACCACAAAATCTTATGTTATACTTGATGAAAGTATAAATAAAATATAAGTGTTAGAGAATCTATCGTTTTAATGGGATATGCATTGTACGAAACTAGTTTCAACGATCTAACCGTCAAATTTGTTTGTATATGCTTCGAGATCGCATACACCAAAAATGGAAAAAAACAAACTTTCAGAGATCAGGTAACAGGACAAAACTTTTCGACGGTTATAAACGAAAAAATCAAGATTTAATGGTTATTTTAACTCCGATTTTGATGATTTTTTACAACTACACTCATGGATCCTATATGAATAGAAGGAATTGATTCGATCGTCAATTTAAAACATTTACACAAGTGGATACCACAAAATCTTATGTTATACTTGATAAAAGTATAAATAAAATTAAGTGTTATGGAATTTATTGTTTTAATAGGATACGCATTGTACAAAACTAGTTTCAACGATCCAACTGTCAAATTATTTGTATATGCTTCAAGATCGCATACGCCAAAAATGGAAAAAAAAAATCTTCAGAGATCAAGTAACGGGACAAAACGTTTCGACGGTTATAAACGAAAAAATCACGATTTAGCGGTTATTTTAACTCCGATTTTGTTTATTTTTAACAGCTACACTCCTAGATCCTATATGAATACAAGGAATTGGGTCAATCATCAATTTAAAACATTTACGCAAGTGGATACCACAAAATCTTATTTATACTTGATAAAAGTATAAATAAAATATAAGTGTTAGAGAATCTATCGTTTTAATGGGATACGCATTGTACGAAACTAGTTTCAACGATCCCACTGTCAAATTTGTTTGTATATGCTTCGAGATCACATATGCCAAAAATGGCAAAAACAAACCTTCAGAGATTAGGTAACGGGACAAAACGTTTCGACGGTTATAAACGAAAAAATCAAGATTTAACAGTTATTTTAACTCCGATTTTGATGATTTTTTACAACTACACTCCTCGTTCCTATATGAATACAAGGAACTGATTCGATCGTCAATTTAAAACATTTACACAAGTGGATACCACAAAATCTTATGTTATACTTGATGAAAGTATAAATAAAATATAAGTATTAGGGAATCTATTGTTTTAATGGGATACACATCGTACAAAACCAGTGTCAACGATCCAATCATCAAACTTATTTGTATATGCTTTGAGATCGCATATGCCAAAAATGGCAAAAAACAAAACTTCAGAGATCAAGTAACGAGACAAAACTTTTCGACGGTTATAAAACAAAAATCACGAGTTAACGGTTATTTTAACTTCGATTTTGATGATTTTTTACAGCTACACTCTTGGATCCTATATGAATACAAGGAATTAGTTCGATCGTCAATTTAAAACATTTACACAAGTGGATACCGGAAAATCGTATGGTATACTTGATGAAAGTATAAATAAAATATAAGTGTTAGAGAATATATCGTTTTAATGGGATACGCATTGTACGAAACTAGTTTTAACGATCCAACCGTTAAATTTGTTTGTATATGCTTCGAGATCACATACGCCAAAAATGGCAGAAAATAAAACTTCAGAGATCAGGTAACGGGACAAAACTTTTTGACGGTTATAAACGAAAAAATCACGATTTAACGGTTATTTTAACTCTGATTTTGATATTTTTTACAGCTACACTCCTGGATCCTATATGAATACAAGGAATTGGTTCGATCATCAATTTAAAACATTTATACAAGTGGATACCACAAAATCTTATGTTATACTTGATGAAAGTATAAATAAAATGTAAGTATTAGAGAATCTATCGTTTTAATGGGATACACATTGTACGAAACTAGTTTCAATGATCCAACCATCAAATTTGTTTGTATATGCTTTGAGATTGCATACGCCAAAAATGGCAAAAAAAACCTTCAGAGATCAGGTAACGGGACAAAACTTTTCGATGGTTATAAACGAAAAAAATCAAGATTTAACGGTTATTTTAACTCCGATTTTGATGATTTTTTACAACTACACTCCTAGATCCCATATGAATACAAGGAACTGATTTGATCGTCAATTTAAAACATTTACACAAGGGGATACCACAAAATCTTATGTTATACTTGATGAAAGTATAAATAAAATATAAGTATTAGGGAATCTATTGTTTTAATGGGATACACATCGTACAAAACCAGTGTCAACGATCCAATCATCAAACTTATTTGTATATGCTTTGAGATCGCATACGCCAAAAATGGTAAAAAACAAACCTTTAGAGATCAAGTAAAGGGACAAAACCTTTCGACGGTTATAAAAGAAAAAAATCACGAGTTAACGGTTATTTTAACTTCGATTTTGATGATTTTTTACAGCTACACTCTTGGATCCTATATGAATACAAGGAACTAATTCGATCGTCAATTTAAAATATTTACACAAGTGGCTACCACAAAAGAAAAAGGCAATGCAAGAACCCCAAAAGAAAAGCAAAAGGAAAAAAAAACAAAAAAACAAAAACTTTGCGCGACGGAGGTACACATGCGTTGCGCAAAGTTTTTTTTTTTATATTTTTTATTTTCCTATGTTCCACAGTTTTAACTTATTGTATACCTCTTCCACTCCTGCCTTAAAATTATTGTTTAAGGACCTATATGATGAGACCACGTATTCAAAATCGTAAAGGGTAGAGACTACACCTAAAATGATTGCTAACCACGTAATAGAATAGTGGTTTCACAAAGCTATAAACTGGCTTCTTCTCTAAATCTCTAACATTCTAGTTTCCTCCTCCCAATTTGGTGAGAAATGAAATCATTTTTTAGCACACATCAATCTATCCCTAAATTAGATCAAGTTAACTTAGCAGCTTACAGTTTCTTAGCTTTTGTTTCCCTAAACCTATCAAAATCCTTCATACTCCTAGTCATTCATTCTACTCATTCAATTGTTCAAAACCAAAACTCAACTTCTTAAAAATAAGCATTGACAAAGATAATTAAAGAAAAACATAAACACACAAAAATAAAAAAAATCCAAACATACATGTAATCAATAAATAGTTAATTAATTAATCAAATAAATACAATTCTTGAAGGTGAAGATGGTGAAGGTTGAGAGAGATGGAGAGTCTGAAAGAGAGAGGTTGAGTGTGAAGAAAAAGGCCCTTATGTGTGGTTATTTTAGAAAAAAAAAGTCGTCGACTTTGCGCGACACCACATACGTTGCGCAAAACAGCTTTGTGCGATGTAGGTTCAATTACGTCGCACAAAGCTGTTTTGCGCGACGTAGGTGCACCTGCGTCACATAAAGTTGGGATGGTTTGGCGCCAAAATTTTGTGCAACACATAAAATGTCGCGCAAACAGCCTTTGCGCGACGCAAGCCTTCGTCGTGCAAAGTCTGTTTGCGCGACGTTTTGTGTTTAGCGTCACGCAAATATACTTTGCGCG